ATATGTATATATATATATTACATTTTACATATTACATGTTACATATTACATGTGTATATTATCTATATTCATAATTATATGTATATGAACACTGGTATTGATATTGATTTTATGTTAGTTAAGGTTTTAGTTTATATTTTCATGTTGTAGTACAGTACAGTTACCATAGTATACTACGGCATCCTGCAGTATACTTAGAATAGTAAGGTATACAGTATAATGTTCTGTTGTATGCTATAGAAAATTACCTGGAAGAACCCTGCTCATGACCGATAGAAGTATGGCTGAGCAAACACTCTGCTCTGATTTAATCAATTTATTCAGCCCGATGACTTTCCCAAGCCCTCACAGGTTCCGGTTTACTTCGGTTTCAGACCTCTAATCGCCAGGATTTCACCCTCGTCCAAGACCCTAAGCCGCAAGCCCAAGAGACTTCTAACCGCTGAACTACCCTCTGCCAACCACCTGCCCGAAGCTCATCTGCAGCGATCGCATCACGCACTGCTGCCTGTGGAGGCTGTCGGGCTGTCGGGTGCAGGGCCTAAGGCTCGGGGCAGAGGATGCAAGGAAAAGAGCTCGGGTCCTGCAGATGCACAAGCCGCAAGCCAAACCAAGCTCCGCTCAACGAATACCGTAGCAGCCGTTTTTGACTCAACCCGACACCCCAAAACCTCCAGCCCAGATCGTGGATGGTTTTGGATGTGGGGCCTTGAACCCTGGGCCGGAGATTTACATCTTCAGTTTCCTAGCCGGGAGCTATAGAAACACGCAAAGATCTCGACCTTCCACTTCTAATCGCAAGCCTCCGATGCACCTCGAATAAAAATACAGCAGAAACGAAATGCAACACGACATGAAGCTGCACTGTGCAATATCCCAACGTGCTGAAAATACTATGCAGCAGGAAGTGACCCAGATGCATGGTTTGATTCACGTGGCATGACAAAAGACGCATCGAACTATGCTCACACGAGCTCATGATGAGAGATATAACTGCACGACCTATCAGAAGTGGCTCCTCGTATCTGACATAAGACCCAGAAGCCTAGAACATGCCCCATACATGCATGAGTGCGTGCGTGCTGCGCAGGGCGTGCCAATGCGCATATGCTGAGGGTGACAGCGGACTGAAAGATGGAGAGACAGAGAAAGAGGCAAACAAACGGCCAGGCTCTCAGATAGACACAAAGCACCAGACACCGTACCGACGTAGGGCAAATCCTCACACCCAGACTCTCTCAATCCGAAACCCTGCAAACCCAAGAACCCTAGATTCCTGAAGCCTGAGCCCATAAATCGCCAAACCCTAATTCCCTAAAGCCCTTATAGTCCCCCTCTGGAAACCTTTTCGAACCCGTAAGCTCCAAATCCTAAACTATAAACCCCTGCACCCTAACACCTAAGCCCCTAAACCCGTGACCCCAAACTCCAATCCCAAACCCTTATCCCTAAACCCTAAATCCTAAATCCCTTTTGACCCTAAACCCCAACAACAGACCCAGGACCCGCCTTGGCGGCACGCTGGCAGAGCTCCGCCAGATCCGCACCGCTGAAGCCCTCGGTCTTCTGCCTTGGTCTTGGTTTAGGCGTTTTTGTGGTTTAATGTTTAGACATGGTCTTGTGCAAACATATATACATACATATGCAAAAATATTGTATGTAGAAAATATTTAATATTTATGTAAGTAACAGTCGCTGGACGGCTTCTCAATGAGTCGAGGGGTCAGGGTTCGGATTGCTCAGGGTGCCCCCCTTGTTCGGCGACTGGTGTTCCTCAATAGGTACGGAGTCCTGCCGGCCTGCGTCCTAAACTTTGCGGTTGATGATTTCGGACCAGAAAAAAACCCTGAAACTGCCCAAAGCCGACAACACCTGTTGCTTTTCAGGCTGACTTTTCTCATGGGCTCCTTCACTGGCCGACTTTCTGGCCTACTTTCCCTGACTCAAGGCTCGGTTTCAGCCCACCTTGACCCCATCCAGATGGAATCTCTGCAGCGCTTGACTGAACCCCGTTCCCAAAGGCCTGGCCTAGTGCTGAGAGAATCAGGCTTCAAGGTCAGAGTCTTGAGGATCACACGAAGCCCTAGCTGCCCTAGCTCAGAACTGCCACGCATGTTCGCCCAGCTGCGCGATGAAGGACAGCGGGACATTGGGCGCGATGGGCGACTTCTTCAGCGTAGCTTCGAGGATGCTTTGCCTCAGGACGTTCCGAACAGAAACGCACAAAGCTGGTGGGGGAACGACAAGCTGCATGCATTCTCTACTTGGCCGTAAGCCCGCTGACAAAGCTCTCCTTCCTTGCAGCTAGACCCCAGGAGCTGCACGGCCCTTCTTGCCACACACACCGACGCCCGAAGCCCTGGCTCCGCTCCGAAACCCAAGATGACGAACTTCTGCATCAAGGGCACCGGGCAGGAAGATCCGGAAGAGGAATGTAGACCCTCAGCTGAAGGGACTGCCATTGGGGCTTCCGGGAGTGTCCTTAAGTTCCATCTGGCGTCTATACATCAGCAGCCTCTATGTCCGAATCTCCCAACGTCGGGCTCCGACATTCAGGGTTCAACACGAAGCCGGTGGAGACTCTGACTCTTCTAGCTTCTGTAGTTCGCAAGGAGAAAGGCTGCAAGCTTAGGGCTTCGGCTCTCGGGTTCCGGGGGGACGGAGACGCGGGAACAGGAGGAGGTCCCTGAGTTGCCTACTAAACAGATCTAAACATAAGAATAGCAAGCTAAGCCCAGGCTGATGCAAGGCTAGAGAGCCATGTAGAGACGGATCAAGTTCGGAGGAGAAAGTTCGGCCTGCTCATGCCTTGCGCTCGCAAGTGCAAGCCCCAAACAGTAATCGAGGCGCAAGATGTGAGCATGCACATGAACAGAAACGGCGCAGCAACCCAGCCCGGCATGGGTACAGCAAACAAAGATCTCTGAGGGTATCCTGAATTCAATTCGCTTGCAAACGAAGGAAGAGAAATCTGAGGAACAAGGAAACTGCAGTTCAATCAGTGCGCAAATAAATCAAAGTAACGCAAAACGGCCGTCATGCGAGTTCAACTAACAAATAACGGTCGCAATACACGGGTAAGTGTAGCAGCAACAAGTCTGAACGAAAGGTTCGTATAATCCAAACCTCAAAACCGAAGGCCCCACACAAGACACTGAAAGCCGAACCCGCAACCGAAACCTAAAGCAAAAGAAAGCCCTCACTTTCACAGGTTCTAGTGACATTATACAACTAGACTACCCTAAACCCCCTGCCCAGGGGCAGCTGATCCAGTCGACCTGGACGTAGGAGCGCCTCATCGAGCAGCTCCGGTCGGTTGGTGGCCCCGATGAAGAAGACGTTCCTCTCTAGAAGCCTAAACCATTGGTAAGATTTTTCCTTCATAGTCCCTTTTTATAGATATAGTATAATATATAACCCCAAGTCTAAATCAAGGCCCTTTCTTAGGTCTGAATAGTTGGGTGTAGGGTTTAAGTCTCTTACACAGGAACCTGGGCCTTGTGGAGGGAAAGTGCGTTTTCATAGGGTCAGCACTTGCGCGAGGCTTCGGGCTTCTGTAGTAGAGATTCAGTAACTTTCGGAGTCTTGCGTGGATTTCAAGTTCTCGGGCGCGGAACGCTAAACCCTAAACCTTTCTCTCTCTCTCTCTCTCTCTCGCGGATTTTTAAACCCTAAAACCCTAAGACCCTCAACCCTGAAACCTTGAACCCTAAGACCTTAAACCCTGAAAAACCCTCAACCCGAACTCTGAACCCTAAACCCTTTGTCTTGAATCCGGCCTAAAGCCCTGAAACCACTCAGGTTTGAACCTGAACCCTAAATCCTACGACCCTAGAACCACTACAGCCCTAAAGCCTTCGATCTAAAAGGCTCCAACCCTAAACTCCAAAAACCCGAAAGGGCCTAAACCCCCAAACCCTAGGAAGCAACGGGCTGGGGGTTTGGAGCTGAGGTTGCCGGTGGGCTGGTGGTGTGAACTCTACGGCTTGGGGGCCCTTGGGGGGGATTGGAGGGCCTTTAATGTAGGGTGTGGTGACTTAACTGTTCACGATTTAGACTTCAAAGCTTAGGATTTCGGAAATCCAGAAGGGTTTTCGACTTTCCGGTGTGGAGTCTGATGTTTGGGGCCTAACAAGAGGCAGCGTAGCTTCCACTTGCAAAGAACATAAATCAGAACAAGACCGATGTTTCGTGCTGCATCTGCGTTGCAATATGGAAACTTGAAGATCTTTGCTTCTAGCGCCGCTCAGCGCGCATCTCTGGGGCAATCCGGTTAGGGGGACTTTCGAGTTGGATCCAAAGGATGCCAAAGGCATGGTGTCGCTCGCCACCGCATATCACAGCCCGCGACTCACTGCAGTTTCGGGCTCAGGGCCTTTCTGGGGGTAGGAGAGTTTAGAGCTTGGCTTTGGAGTTCGGGACAGTTGCCATGGGGCTCTGCAATGTAGATATGACGACATACATGCTTCGGACGTCTCTCTCTGAAATCCGAATCTTGCGAGAGCCGAGCATCTTTTTCGCGCCCACGCCGTCGATCTCTGTGAGCAGCTGGTTCATCACCTCAGTGATCTAGGACTTTCAAGTGTGAATACAAGAAAAAACGCTCTGGAGCTCGGCATGGCGCCCTGACTCTGAGAGCCCTGAACTCCAAGCCCCTCATTTACGAGCCCCCGACGCGGTCGCCCGCGCCGCCGGCATCGCCCTGAGTGGAGCCACGGGCCACGCCAACGGAGTCCTCGGGCCCCCAAGGGCTTCAGGGTTGTATCACACAGTACAAAATGTAGGTTCTGGGATAGGCCTTAGAATCAGCTGTTACGCCCCAGGAAATCCGCCGTGTCACGACAAAACTCACTTACGAGTGCATCCGTTCCCGGCCAGCCATCATAACGTTCTCTTTCCTCATGCGTTGCTGCACTCAGACCTGATCCATTCCCCAGAGCATCCTTGGGCCCTGTGAAGGAGCCTCTGAGACATATTCTACCGTGTGTGTATATATATATACACATAGACAGATAGACAGATAGATAGATACATGGATGGATAGGCATACCAGGTATACACTTTATTCTATATCTGTTATATACTGTGCCTCGAATGAATGTTCGGGTCTTTATCAAAGCTCAACAAAGATTTATGCCGGGATATGAATGTGTTGATACAGGCTTTATGTAAGGGTTTCAAACCGGGTCTTTATGTACCATGCGAGCTCCGGGCTTTGCAGATAAAACCGTGGAGTTCAGCGCAGGGATAAGTGATTTCAGTTGAAGAGTCGAAACTTAAGATTGCATGTCTTGGCTGGTTCCACAATGGGTTCACAATGGTTTAGCTATCTTTTTTTGCCCTCCCGATTACTCTTGGCCATAATGCAAAGCTACCATACTCGGGACCTTAGTCAAGCCATCTTTTAGGTGAAGGCTACCGGGCACGTTTGACTCGAAACCGAATCCGAAACGTGAAGAAAAAAAGATGATGCTTCCCACCACAAGCTGGGTAGACCCTGAAAACCGTCCAGCTCATCAAAGAACAGCACGCACGGAGCTGCGGCTCGGGCCTCCGGAGCGATTCTTGGGAATCTTCCGGGCTTTAAGGAACAAAGGATTCAGGGTTCCGGGTTTTAGGATTTCAGATCGACAGCTTGTTTTACGCTTCGCTTCTCACCTCGCACAAGCTCATCTGTTTCAACATGTTTCAAAAATGTCTCTCCGAGGTTGCTGCGCAAAATCACGTGGCTCCTCGACCAAAAACAGGCCAAGTCTTATCGTGTACAGCCGACGCAACCGTGTCCCAAACGTGCCGCAGAGACCACCCAAGAGTCGGAATCCTGGGCCCCCGAACTCTGAGCACTTCCGGAAGCTTTCGGAATAACCGGTGGGTTTGGGGTTTAGGGCTTCGGGTTTAGGGTTTAGGGTGGGCTTTACCTAGGGCTTTGGGCCTTGTCGAAGACCTCGCGCACGTTGGCCTCGGACTCGCCGAACCACATCGTGAGGAGCTCCGGGCCTCTCAAAATGTATGGGCTTTATATTTTATTCATGGAAATAGGGCTCCGGGGTAGGGTATAGTATAGTATGTATAGCATACTATAGTACTTTATCGTATCGTATGTTATGGTGTGATATGGTATGGTATGGTATGGTATGGTATGAAAATGAGGAACCCACAGCAACAGCATTACTCATTTTTCGGGCTTCAATATTATCGGCTTGCCGGTGTCAGGACTTTCTCATCTTCGCGTTTATGGCCCTTGGGGCTTCAAGGCTTAAGGACTTCGGTGGTGCCAAGGAGCTCGAGCTTTGAGGCTCTGGAATTCAGGGAAGGTTTGTTCAGAGCGCAAGGATGCAATGGGCCCCGGCTGACCAGAGAGATAGATTTGCAGCCGAAACTCTGTGAAGAGTGATGCTGCGCAACCTATTCACATCCTCCCGTTACACTACAGTAGAAGTGACAGAGGATGAACGACTAGAAAGTGAAACGTTGATCTGGCGATCTGGCAGGCGGTGCAATTCAGCTGTCCGCCCGGCGATTGCACGCAACGCATCATTTTCCTGTGTTCCTCTGCTTGCTTCTGTGTCGTCAACTTCTCCAGCGACGAGTCGTCAGCACAACTCTAACCCGCAGAGTCCGTAAACAATAGGTAACCAGCTCATGGTATGTCATTGTTGCTGCTTCTGCTGCTTCTGACCAATCTTTTCCGAAGCTGGTTGTGTTGCTCGGTGCTTTGGATATGCTGGGAAGTCTTTCACTGTTTGGGAAGTTTTGGACTGCAACCTTCAGATGTTCGAAGCGACACAAGCAATAGTGCTCCTTTCTTTCGGCTCGCGGGCTGCATGTGGCGTAAAGAGACCGGCGCACAGTTTTGTGGTCGGCTCTCGAAGAAGACAAAACATCTGATTGAGGTAGTGTACTCAGCTACTGCCGGCTGCCCCTTTTCTTCCTAGCCTTGCCTTTACCACCGGCTTGTTTGCCCTTGCCCTTCCCACTGTCGGTGTTGGGACCCTTTGGACCGAGGTCCAGCCGCCGGGCCTCCTCGTGTGTTGAGATCCGCTTTCCGGCTGTGAACTTGGATTCCCACTCCTCCTTGATGACAGGATCACTCAAGTCCACAAGCAGCACGGGGATGGACTCGGTGGGCGTAAAAGCTAACTTCACACACTTCAAGCGGCGATTGTCCATGGCAAAGTGCACAGAGCCCAGGGCCACAACCCGAATGCCAAGCTTAGCGACCGTCAGTCGACCGTTCTTCAGCTCTTCCACCGTGGACTTCAATGCTCTGCCATCACGAAAGGTCTGCCCACAACTGTCTTGGCAGAAGCGAATTTCGCCCAAAGGCACAAAGATCCTCGTGGCCGGCCGGCGGTCATCCAAGAATGTGCAGGTCTGTATCAGCCGATACTCCAAAAAGGCATGGATGAGAGGGAAAGGGAGGTTTTCATCACAAACTCGAACGGCATCTATGTAGACAAGCCAGACTTCTGGCCGGCCTATGCCGTCCTTGCCACTCATGAAATACCATCCTTCGGAATCGCGGGCAGCAGGCTGGCACAACAACCGGATTTGGGTCGGGTCGACCCTCTTCGATATGCCATTGCAGACCAGATGCGGTATGCGAGATGCATAGCACTCCATGCGATAGGCTTCTTCATCGGTCGAGAACCGCGTCAACTTATAAGTTTCCCCCGGCTCCAACAGCTGAGTTGGCATGTCTTGCGAACCCTGCATCAAGCGGCCACAAATAACCTCGGGCTTCAGGCACACCGGAAAGCTCGCAATGTTCTCCACGATAATCCACGGCCCTCGGCACCCAAGATCGTCAAGTCCCCCGCTGCTGCTGCCGAGCTCACGGCGAAGTCGCAGGAAAGGGCCAACGTCTCCGATCCACTCTTCAAACAAAGGCTTTCCAAGGGCCAGGGCCAGGAAGTCCGGACCCACTCCTGACATGAGTGGGAAGCAGATCGCATCGGGCTCGGGTCTCTCTGGTCGTGGTGATTCTGGGCCCTGCGCCGCTGCGGCATCCGGCGTGGGTCGCGATGATTCTGGGCCCTGGGGCTCGGCGTCTGGGATGGATCTCGATGATTCCAGACCATGCGACGCTGCGGCATCTCTTTCTGCAACATTGGACTGCTGCGAAGCTTGTGACTCGCTCTCCCGGCTGTGATCAGATCCCATTGCACTCCCTAGCGCTCCATTGCAGGCTGGGAAACCCCTCTCGAAGGTCTCGCCTGAGCCTTCAATTCGAAAACAAAATGCACGCAAGTACGCCTGCCAATGCTTTAGTATCAAAGCGGCCAAAGCCTGTGGCTTCTGTCCTCAAGTGTAAACTATAAACACTGTAAACTCTGGGGCGGGAGCTGGTTCAAGACGCCAGGAACACACACGCCTGTCCTCCATTCCAGAAACCCGAACCCGAAACCCTTACACAAATCCTTAAACTTTCAAGTCGCTCAATCCCTGAGCTCCAAAAACCGGAACACCCGGAGCCCCCAAAGTCCCACACCGCCTTGGACCCGAAACTACCTGACCCCGTTTTGCAGACCTTTGATGCTCACGAAGTTGGCGGAGCATTCGGAGGCCACAGCTTTGGCCAGCAACGTCTTGCCACAGCCCGGTGGACCTCTCGTGCAACAAGGATTTCGTCGCTAGATTTCAAGACTGAGCTCTTGGGGTGATGGTTCGCGTTTAGGGTTTAGGGCTTGTAAGGTATTGGAAATCTAGGTTTCGGGTTTGGGATTGTTTGGAGGGTTCCGGGCATTTGGGGCCCATGGGTAATGGTTTTTGTGCATCGTATCTTGCCCTCTCTTCTGCGGGTGAGGGCTTTGGAGTCTTGGGCTCCAGGATTTAGGACCTACCCTGCTGATGATGTGAACAAGAGCCTTTTGGGGCTTTTGGGATTTGTGATCTATTTCGGGGCCGGATTTAAGCTGTAGGATGTACAGCTGCGGGTTCGGTTTGGGCTTTCACTTTGGCAGTTCAAGATGAGGCTAGGTACCTCACTTTCCACCAGAGTAAACTCAGAATTGAAGCAACCCAGCCCATACTTGTACTGAACTCTGCTAGATGGACTAGACGCGTCGTCCCTGCAGCTGCCAACATGCAAACCGGAAGGGCTTTATGGGGTTGAAGCACTTCTGACGCTGGGCTGGGGACGAGCAACCTAAACAGACTGCGATGTCTCATGCCTCCTGTACACTGCTCTCGCAAGCCAACCCGGCCTTGAGTAAAGGCTTTCTCAACTGTAGGACACCATAGCTTTGGATAGTATAGTTTTGTACCGTATAATCGAGTATGGTTTAATGTAGTTTCATGCAGCTTAGTCTCGTATAATATAGTCTAGAGTACAATGTATTAGCCTGGGTTAATGTAGCTTCGTATCTTATGGTAAATTATAGTATGGTGATGGAAAACCGACGACCAACTGCCCGTTGTATGCTGAGTATTACGCTTGGAGAAGGTTCAAGCTCTCCAAACTTAGAGGCTAGGTTCTGAGGCGCCCCAGGTCTGGAATTTGAAGGTTCGGCTTTCGGGTTGGCGGACAAACGTCGAACCAATGCGTATCCGAAAGTTCCAGCGCCCAAAAAGCCCTTCGCCCGAAGTCCTTAACCCTAACCCATCGCATTAGCATTCCGCAATTTCAAACTTAAACACTGAATCCTGAACTCCAAACAAGCAGAAGAGCCGTAGAAGAGCACCCCGCGGGAGGGCTGCATTCCAAACTTCTCGAACTTCTCCTGCTGTTTCAGACTTCGGAGGTCATCAACTTGCAAACCATTACAAGCCGAACCGGTCGTTTGCGATCATGGCCGCCAGCACTTCATTCTCAGCAGCAGCAAAATTCAGCACAACAGCAAACTAAACGTACGAAGATGGGGACGACGAGTGACAATCCTTCTGCCTGCTGCTGCCACAGGTACCCACAGTTACTGCGTCTGCCTCTGCCTCGACATCTGCCGCAGCTGCCGCTGGTGCTGATGTTGTTGCTGCCGCTGCCATTTGTTGCCATGACCACGACCATGACCATCACTGCAATTGACATCACCATCTCCATTTGTCGTGGCCGTCACCATCGCTGGCCGCTGTCCTCATCCCAGTTGCCATCACCATCATCATAAACAGCATCAGCGGTCCCCCCTCCTCTGGCTGCGACTATCAAGGTTGTGATCAAGCACTCAGGTTCAAGACGACATGCAATGTTCATGGCAGCTTCATGTGATAAAGATGACTATGCGCCTCATGTTTGCTGCGACATGCTGAAAAGGCCTCAGTGGACACTGAGGTCTTTCACCACCACTCATAGACTTTCCATGTTGTCTCTGACTTGGAGCTAGGCTAAGTGATGCGATCATTGTTGTTGTTGTTGCTGTTGGCTGGCTTCTGTTTGTATCAATTCCTATGTCCTGCATGCCTTCCCTACATTGCAAGGCTGAGGTCCTAAGCCCAAACCCGAAACTTGTCCAAAACCCTTCCAATGAAAGACTTACCAAATTCTGGCCAGACTCCGGGTGGTCGATTGGGTAGAGGATCGTCTCTTGCAGGGACCTCTTCGTGTCTTCCTCGGCTCTTTTTTCGGCGGGTTGAGGGCTTAGAGTCCTAGAGTTTAGAAGTCGGAGGCCTTTAGGGTGGAGCAGGCTTGGGGCGTAGTGGCTCGACTATGTCAGAATCTTGGGTCGCTGGTATTTGAAGCCTCGGGTCGGCTCATGGAGGCTTTCAGAGCGGCTCCCAACACACAGCTCTAGCATGCAGGGTGTGGCAAGGCTTAGTAGAAGCGAAAGGTTTCGGAGTCTTACCGGGTCCTTCGACGACTTCTTATGCACAGAACTTTGAAACCGAATATGACTGAATGGAGATGGCCCAAAAGCAGCCTGGCATCAAGACCACCGATGTCGTCCCATTTGATGTTGGGCACCTCAACTTGTCAACTATCAAGGGTTTGCCAAAGTAAGCTTCTCGCAGCCGAAAGCCCCTGCGCATGCCTCCACCACTGTCTCGCGCAAGGAGGAGGGGTTCACGCTGCCCATCGCAGACTTGAAGTGCTCCTGTACACAAAGGCAATGCACGTCAAGCCTTCTTCAGACACGGGGGGTGTGGCCTTTTACTGGAATAAGGTTTTGTGAAGCGTCTCATGCTAGAAAAATGAACCCCTACACGTGCCACAATTTGGCTTTTGTTTGGATTCAGGGGGGTTTGGGTTCAGCTAGTCAATATTCGCTGTGGAGCTGGCGTCGTCCAAAGCAATTCTGAGCATAAGAGGAGGCTTGGATAAGCCTTAAACCCAATGGTGTTTGGAAACCACTGCCCAGAAATGAAATGCATTGCACGCTCCGAGTTTGCAGGGACTTCGGTGTCCGCTGCTCTCCTGTACCAGGGGCACCCTGTTTATAGGCCTTACACTATGCAGTCCCAGAGGGCAAGCTCCTCCGCGAGCTTCCTCCATCCCGAATCCGAAACCTTGCATCTCAAACCTGCGGGTGCCCAACACCATACCGTGTCGGAGTTTTGAAAGCCCAGGTACCCGCTGACAGGTTTGATCACGCTCAGGAGAGCCCACCCAACAACGGCATGCAAAGCATCGTAGGAAAGAGCGAGGTGGTCTTCTAAACCGTTCCATACTATTAATCTGCCGGGTGGTAGTTCGATATGATGTACACATTATACTTTCCAACTTATAACTTATCATGTGCCAAACGTGTTTGCAAAGAACTGCAGCTTCGAAAAAGAGCAAGAATATGATGATAAATTTCCCCGAGAAGTCCTGGGACACGGCCATCGAGTCCAGGATCTCCGCGTCGATGGTCTCTTCCTCCAAGTCGATGAGATCCATCTTCTCTCGGATGCACCTCCGGCGCTTCGAAATGATCAGCTTTGCAAAGTTCTGAACTTCGACTCACAGGAACACGAGGCGTGAAGCCTAAACCCGAAGGAAACACAGTCGGGTGGCGTAAGCGCAGCTTCCGTGCAGAGTTGGGCCAGGTCAGCACCGACGAAGCCGTGGGTGTTGGAGGCCACTTCCTCCCAAAACAGGTGCGGCTTGGGCTCGGCTCGGCCTGAGGTCTGAAGCCCCTACGTCCCCAAGCTCACATGTGATGAGGAGGGAGTCAGAGGCCTAGCTGGCCTAGCTTCTTCAAGGGATTTCGGTCTACCTGTCTACCTGTCGCTTGCAGTGATGGGCATCGGGTCTTCGGCCTAACCTCAATGGCATCCTTCTCTGGGTCTTCAGGTTTNNAAACCTGAAGACCCAGAGAAGGATGCAGCCCTCCTCCAGCTTGACATCCGTGGCCAGCTTCATGTTCTTGCAATGGATGCGCAGGATCTCCAGCCTGGCTCGGACGTCATCTGTGCATGAAACCCTCCTCATTTACCAGTGCGAAAGCCCAAACCTATGCCTATGCTCCGCGAACTTAACGCTCCCAATACCTGCGCCTTCTCTAACACTCTCGCTTGTCGATTGTCTTCCTCTCGACAGATTTCTCGCTTTCTGGAGCCGTCACTCTGGCACCGAGCCGCAAAGCTCAGCAAACCTCCCCAAGCCTCCCCTAAACCCCGGACCCTGGACCCTAAAGCCCAGAAGCCCTCAACCCCAAAGACCCTCAAACCCTAAACCCCTATGGCACACTTATAGACTTATAGAACCCTACAAAAGTCATGCCAAAACCCTAGAAAGCCCATCTTGCCCAGTCCGCTACTCCCGCCTGCCGTTGTCGTCGGGGACCCCAATGTCCAATTCCCGGTCGAAGCGGCCGAATCGCCGCAGGGCCGCATCAATGGAGTTCGGCCTGTTGAAGTTCCCGTAGCTTGGATCTAGTTTAGGGTCCCCTGTTCGGCCTTTGGGCTTGGTTCTGGGGTTCCGGGTTGAGGGTTTCTGCTGCTGCTTGCAGGTTGAAGTTGGCGGGGTGTGTGGTTTGGGCTAGAGCAAACAACAGCTTCAGGGCTCAGGTTAGGAATGGATCAAGCGATTACGGTTCCAATTCCCACAAACATTTGAGGTGGACCTTGGAGGAACCCTGGCTCCTAAATCTTCGAACCCTGCCCCAGAGGCCCGAAACCCTAAACCACAAAACCAACAAAAAGCCCATAAACCCGAGAAAAGCCCTTCTTGAGGGCCTCTCCCAAAAACAGACAGAGCTCCTGAGGCTCCGGGTCGTTCTAAAACCCGGGCAAAAGGATCCCTGAAATCCTGAATCCTCAACCCCTTTTAAAACCCTAAAGCCTTAACCCTGAAACCCCAAACCCTAAGCCCTGAATCCCTCGATGGGCCCTAGACCCTCAATCTGAAGGTGCAACTTTCGCTTGTGTTTATGCAAGGGAGATGTCAGGGGCGTGGGAAAAAGTGGTGACATACCTTCGGGTAGGCAGCGTGTGTGTGTGTGTGTATGTATGTATGTATGTGTGTATGTATGTATGTGTATGTATGTGAATGTATGTGAATGTATGTGCATGTATGTGAATGTATGTGAATGTATGTGAATGTATGTGAATGTATGTGAATGT